CTTGGGCACCTGGTATTGGTAAAGAGTGAAGTATGCTTTTCCATAGCCAGTTTGGTTATAAAATCTTAATCTACTTTCCTATGGTGTAGCTCCCCGCATGAAAGTCGCATAAAGTTTGATTATGCTCACACTAATAGGCGTCGATGTTGTAAAAAATATGCTATTTGAGAAAATAAAACTTGGTGCTTAGTTCAGACTATGAAATGGAAATAATGCTAACTCAGGCTAATGAATCAAGATCATATATATATATATATATATATATATGGGGCAAAATGATTTCTGCAGCTGCTGTACCTACAGCAAGTAAGGATACACGTCCGAATCTTAGCATACAGCAACGGATCCTGAGTTTTTTTTTTTTTTTTTTTTTAAAAAGCTGTGGGGCCCACTTTTCTGTGTCATGCAGAAATGTTAAACCCTATATATATATATATATATATATATATATATATATATATATATTTTTATTATTATTATTTTATTTTTTTTTTGGTAGACAGATCATATATAATTTCTTATCACATGTCATTTATATTTTTGTCCATAATGAAATCCATATTCACCCGAGAGAGCTAATAGCATTAAAAATTGATACTTTGTAAAGAAGATCATAAAACTTGGTTTTCCAGGCAACGGACAATTTCTAGAAATCTACCCAAAAGAGTTAGTCAAAATTACCCTTATATAGTTAAATAACTTTTTATTAAATAATTATAGTACTAATTTATTATTAGATTGAATTTTTTTTTCTTTTGCACACACATGTATAGAGTGAGGGCAAGGATTTTTGACTTTGTTGTATGATTAAAAAGTCTTATTTCTCATTGATTTTCTTGCATTTGACAATTATTATTTATTGAGTTATATTCATTAATTAATTTATAATCTCAAAAAAATTATAATCATCAGATATATGAAGATCAACTTTGTCTTGCAAGGTGTATAATACTGTAATGGCAGTGCTGACATGGTGGTGATGACACTAGGGGTGGTAGCAACAACATTATAGGGATGGGGTGGTGGAGGGTTTAAAAATACTTTTTGCATTTTACTTAATTAAATATAAAAATTAACGACTCTCCTCTATCCCAGAAGATAAAGTTATCTTCTGCAATCCAAAACGACATCGTTTTAGAATTTTTAAAAAAATACATGATATTTTAATAAAATTCATAATATAAAATGAGAGTAAAATTTTTAAAATATCTTGTATTTATTTTTCTAAACGTCAAAATGATATCATTTTGAAATTATAGGATATAACTTTATGTCATGTGACATCAGAAATATTTTTTCCTTAAATATAACTAAGCGCATCTCCTTTTGCCAATATATCCTTTAATAATTTTTATGCTTGTTACTTAATTAAGTAATATTATAAAGTTGTCTTCTATAACTCAAAATGATGTTATTTTGAAGGTTAGAACAAAATAATACCTAATATTTTAATAAAATTTATAATATAAAGGAGAGTAAAATTTTTAAATATCTTGTATTTTTTTTTCTAAACACCTTGCAAAATATAATATATCTTATATAACAGGAGACATATGTCTTCGTTAATATTTTCTTTGATCAGAATTGGAGGTGGGGGTTCCTTTTTAGGTAAATCTCCTCCTGTGGATGTAAGGAAGCCCGTTTCAGGAGAATACACAGGGCCCAGAAAAGTCATCAACTGGCCCAGTACGTAGACTAATTGATTATTACAAATAAAGTCTCATATGTAGAAAAATATGATATGGTTGAAATATGAAAATATTATGCTGAGAAATATTGATTTCCATGTATGTTTTTGAATTTCAAATCAGTTGTGATCGACTATGATCCAAGTAATGGGAAGGTTAGTAGTAATGAGAAGATAAGAAAAATTGTTCCGAATTTCTTCCCAGTGTGTCTTCATGTTACTTATGAGTTTAAACAATTGCAAAACTATTTGGATTAAAAGGATATAAGTTATGTTATTTTAGTTTGAGTAATATATAGTTATAACCCAAACGACACTTCCGATATTAATGATTAAGATACAAAGTCATCAATTTAACTATTTGAAGTAATTACAAGGCAATTACTCGTTTTAACCAAATCATTTGTAGGAGTGGGAGCATTTGAGTTTAGTGAATTTCAAGCATTGGCTTTCTACATGAGTGAGAAAATGAAGTCCGAGCAGACAAAAGAGATTCCTAGAAACATAAGTGATAAAATGGAGAATAAACCTGTCTGATACAAAACAGTTTCAGACATTCCAAAGCGTGGGCAAAGAGAAAAAGGAAATAAAGTTCTATGGATGAGATTTGATATGACGGTATATTTGATGAGAATGGACATATCTGTAAAGTCTGAAAGTAGCATTTTAAAGTAGAAAACATAGAATTTCAATGAGCTGGGGGATCGATTCTAAATTGGATGGCAATGCTGATAAAAATTGAGGTACGCATCATGTACAAGTTGTAAATGGTGGTATATAAGTATTTATATTTATATATTGCATGCTGCGACATGTTTAAACATATCCTATTAAAGTCTTGCAATTCTTTACGTGAATCGCACATTATGGCTCTCAACATTCCTCCAATTAATTAGTTAGATGCTATGTATATTGCTAATAAAGAAAAATAGAAATATATTATGTATAGAATCTAAAATGTAATTTACAGAGGTTCATGTATACATATTACTTAGGAGGTTTAAATATGGCATTCATTGTACGCGTAAAGTGAAAAATATTGATTATATTGACCGAATATATTCATTGTAACATCCAAGCGTTTAAAAAAATAATTATTGATTAATGCAACACACATTGTAAAATTTGATATTCATACACAACCTAATAATTTTATATAAAATGTGATACCAAGTGAAATGTTAAATTATAATTATTCATTATTTGTCTCAAATCTTATATATGAGTTTCATAACAATAAAAATATAATCAAATATTTTTATTTCTATATATTTAAAAATTATTTATTACATTAATTTTTATATATCAATATATTATTAAATAATTTTCAGACAATATAAAATTTGATAAATATGATTAAAATAATAAGGATTTTTAACTAACAGCACATATCATGATATAATTATTGAATTAAAATTATTTAATAGTATGAAAATGATTATAATTTATAATAATATAAAATTAGTTTCTTCTAATATATATATATAGGATAGAACCTATTTACATTAGAATAAAAAGTCTCATATTGATTTGCTTGCAAATACCGATTTACATATTTAACAAATTACAATTGAAATTATTAAATATAAATAGGATTAACAGCTAAGATATATCGAAACAAAATAATCAAGTTCCTATTTTATATATGGGATTGCATCTTCTCAAGCGGCAGAAGAAGAGACTTTTTTGCGGCTGATACAGTTAAATGGGTCCCACTGATTTAAAAGAAAAAAAAAGAATGAAATGAAATATTGGCACACACATTGATCTCTCACTGGCAGGAGAACATGAATTTTGCTGCAACAGAAGACTTATTTTGCCCTTTATATATATATATGTGTGTGTATGGATTACTATTTTTTATGATATAGAAGATATTTTTATCTCCTACATACATATAAAAATATGTGATGTCAATGTGGATTCATGTGAAAAGAAGAGAGAAAAAGAAAATATGGACTTCATATTATATGTGTGTAGGAGATAAAATTATCTCCTATAACATGATAAACAATAATCTCATATATATATATATATATATATATATATATATATATATATATATATATAGGGTTTTAATTTTTTTTTTGATAACATAGGGTTTTAATTTTATCATGTTGCATGAGACAAATTGTGTCATGCAACACACAAAAAAGCGGGTGGGACTCACTAAAAAAGAGAGAAAGAAAATAAAGAAAATTTGGATCTCACCCACTTTTTTGTGTGTTGCATGAGACAATTTATCTCATGCAACATGAGAAAAATAAAACTCACATATATACATATATATATATATAGAGAGAGCATGATATTCTTACACTGATGTAAAAATAAAAAATCTTACATCAAATCTTGGTCATTAATTTGCTTCCATCTAACTGTTCACATATCTAATAAATCAGAACCGTTAAATATAAATAAGATCAACAGTCAAAATTAAGAGTGTAACTTACACTATTATAAAATGATCTTAATCCCATGTATATATAGTGTTTATTGTTTCTCCCTAAATTTTGGTATAAGATAGACTTGTTATTCTTACACCGTTATAAATTGATCATATCTCATATATATTTATTTATTTCTTGTGTATCTTTCTTTTTTCCTTTTCCTTTGTCCCCTATATCAAGGCAGAAGCAAGTAAAAAACTACAATCTAATTGTGTGCTCTTTAGTTAGGTCAATGATGAGTTGTAACTAAACCCTCTCATCACGATTTGCTGCTTCAAAATAATATCCTGTTTTGGTAGAAACAAAATAGTACTTATAAAATAAACAACGACAATTATACATATCAATTTAAATTTTTCTAAGTTGACGAATTTCGATTTATATATGCAGAATATTGACTTCATGATGCATAGACAAATCAAAATACATGTTCGATTTGTATATCACAATATTTTTCTTTTGTCCGCTCAAGTGTGTGTGGGGAAGAGGAAAAGAAATTAAGCAACGAATCTTCTGCATTTAGTATTGCCCAGCCAATTTTCCACAGTAGTCACCTGTAAGCATTCTATAAGAGGAAAGACAGAACCAAATTCAGCTTTTAAAGGCACCTATCTATGATGATATACCCTCATAGGACAACCAAAGAGGGCCAGCATGAATGCATGATCCCACTTCCCAGCTACTTTCGACCATTTCCCTTCTCGTTTTCATAGACACACACAAAGCTTAAAAAAAAAAAAAAAAGTGAATAAAATGTTCACGTAAATATTTATTATTCCTTTTTTAAATAAAAAAAAGGGACAGCTCCAATATACAAAAACGTCAATAAACACGTGGCGCAAAACCCGTCGATCGTCGGCTTTTCAAAAGTAATAATCAAACGATGACGTGGATTTCTGTCTACTACTACCCTTAGCATGGTGCGACGACGTCGTTTTTGTCTTTCTCGAGCCCGGCACTTCGGGCGGCGTCAGCATGCGAATCAGCGCCATGTTAAGCCCTTTGAAGAAGGGGTGCTTCTTGACGTCAGCGGCGCCGCGCTTCGACCCAAGCCGTCGAGCTGGATCCTTGTTCAACAAGCGGGATATCAGGTCCCGCGCGTGGAGTTCAAGCGCGCTGGAGGGCGTGGACGTGGGAAAGGTCAGGGGCTTCTTTATGATGTTGCGCAGCGTAGCCTCGTTCGATGGGGCCGCATACGGCGTACGACCGTAGATGAGCTCGTAGATAAATATGCCAAAGGACCACCAATCAACGGCGTTTCCGTGTGAGTTGCCGGCAGCGACCTCCGGCGATACATACTCGTGGGTTCCAACAAAGGAGTGGGACCGGGCAGCAACCGGTTCGGCCACGAAAAGCCGGTTCGGCTGAACCGTTTGGACCTTGCGGGACCGGAACACCCGGTTCGAGAAGCACGAGAATGGAGTAGAAAAAGAACGCGAGCGATTGTAAGGTAATGCAGATGGAATCGCAGGATCTTGTAAGCAATCAGAGGATTCAACGGCAGGGATTGCATCTGAGCAAAGAGAAAGATCGAAATCAGAAAGCATGATGTGACCGTCAGATCTGACCAACACGTTCTCAGGTTTTAGATCCCTGTAGATGATTCCCAACATGTGGAGGTACTCCAACGCCACCAGTACCTCAGCCGCATAAAATCTGAGCAACAAAATATAGATGAGTGTAACAGAACAACAAAATGTAACAGACTAATTTTCTCGGAGGCCAAACAGATAAAACGTCATCGTTTCGGTTTGTATTACTTTGTTATAGTTAATGGTTTACCTTGCTGAGGAGAGAGGAAAACGGTTGTGAGGGTGCTTGTGGCGTAGGGAGTGCAAGTCTCCACCGGAACAAAACTCCATGACAATGCAAGAGAAATGTGAGGCCTCGAACTCAGCGTAGAGCGTAGGGAGGAAAGGGTGGTCGAGCATCTTGAGGATCTTTCTCTCCATTTCCGCTCTCTGTGCCTTCTTCTTCAATGCCACGGCGTCTTTGTCCACCACTTTCATGGCGTACAAACAGCACGAGTCTTCTTCTTCTTCGTTGTCGAATTCGTTTCTGGTGTTGCGGAGGCGGCAGAGGTAGACGGTACCGATATCGCCGGCGCCGATTCGGCGGAGGAGCTGAAAGTCGCGGAAGGTGAGGGCGGCCTTGCGGCGGAATGTGGCGGAGCAGATGGCGGAGTAGGCGAAGTCGGAGGAGCGGTGAGGCTTGACTGAGAGACTCTCCGGCGAGGCGGGGAGGAGGTCGAATGAAAGACGGCTGAAACTCGTGCTGCAAATGCTTTCACTGCTCATGGAGCTTCGCTGCGTCGAATTCACAGTGTCCAAACTCACCTCAGAATCACGTGCACCACTCTCTAACATGGTACGGAAGAAGTGGTTTGAACTTTGAACGTGTAGGTTGAATGAAACAAGGATTAATAAAGGTGGTGCAGGCTTTCGGAAGGGGTTGGAAACTTGGAATGGAGCTGAGCTGTTTTTTGGGTTAGGGTTTTGGGAGCACAAAAATTTGAAAGAATAATTAATCAACGTTGGTACGAATAGTTTCAGAGCAATAAGGGAAGCACGGGTTGGGCCAGAAAGAGAGAGAGAGAGAGAGAGAGAGAGAGAGACTGTGACTCTGTGAGTGTGTTTAGGAAACGAGGAAGGTAGTTGTGTTATTTATGCTAAAGACCCGTACGGGTGTAAAATGGGTCTAACTAACAGGGAAGGGCACGTGAGAGGGGGCAAGAGGGGGTGAGTTTTGGCACGTGCGGAGTGTGACTGAGGAAGAGAAAGAAGGAAGTAGTAGTAGGATTAGGGTAGGTGCTTGTTGTTTTGTGAGGATGATGAATTGAGAAGAGGGGAAGGGTTGTCACGTGGCAGAGGTTACTTTGGTGCATTGGTGAAGCTCTGAGAAATTACTGAGCAATGACTAATGAGCGTGTGCTGCAGCCTGCAGGCTGTGGGAAAAGCTTTTTTTGCAGTTTTTTTTTTACAGTGATTGAATGCAATGACGGAAAGACCCCTGTCAAATAGTTCAGTAAACCATGCAACGGTCAACCCTATTTATGACCAAACAGAACAGATCGTTAAGGTCGCGTTGCTTTATCCTTGACCATATATACTTTTACCATAAATGAAACTACCTGTCTTGAAAGAGAGAGAAAAAAAAAAACACAGAAAAAAAGGCAAAACAATCAGGTGGGCAATTATATTGTTATTATTTATTAGTGATCTATGATTACCAATATATATATATATATATATATATATGAGATAGGATCCTTTGACACCAGTGTCAAATTTTAAGTTTGACACCTCATCTGAGAGCCGTTAGATTAAAAAGGATCAATGGTGTCACATGCTTGTAAATCAGAGTCGTTGATCTTTTTCGATCTAACGACTCTCAGATGAAGTGTCAAACTTCAAACTTGACACCGGTGTCCAAGGATCCTGCCTCTGTATATATATCTGAGTGATCTCTAATTTTATTTTATTATCTCAGTGATCTCTAATTTTATTTTATTTTTGTATCATGTTTCTTTGATGACATTTGGTTAATCCATTATTTGTGTCATTTTATGTTCAGAAGAGTTATAAATGGATTTGAGAGGGATAGCTGACATTCAGTGAATTGATTTGCATTGGAGTGTGGCAAGATTACAGTAAAAAAAATCATAGAATTATTATTATTATTATTTATTATTTTTACATAATGAATCTTTTACAAAGACTTTTTCCATGAAAAATGAATACAATTATTATGATCCCCCAAAAAAATACAATTAAGAAAAGGTTTAAATGGCATAAATATTCCTCAAGTTTTATTTACTTTTTTATAAATTTAGTTAAACCTTTTACTTTAAAAAACATCACTAAAAACTAAGGGCAATGTTATACTTATTATCATTTTTACTTTATTATTCTTACTACCTGATTAGTTATTATTGAATTAATTCAAAATTAATGGTTGAAAATGAAAAAAAAATAGGTGCCAGTGATTTTAAATTAATCCAACAATAACTAATCAGTAATAAGAATAATAAATCTAAAATGGTAATAAGTATAACCGTTCTAAAAAGAAAAATAAATGACAAAACTAAACCCTTTATTAATACGTTCAGTCAAAATTAATTTATTAGTTAACAAATTTTTATTTAATTAAATTAATTATTAGTTACATCACTTTACTTAAAAATAACAAAATCCTTTCAAGATAATATAAAATTCTCTAGTTAAATTTATTTTGTGATAACAATTCAGAGAAACCGCGGGATAACCAAGTTTGTAATGCTTTAACTTTCAAGAAAACGCCCTTACCTAAGGCGACTTCCCAATAATTAACCGGGAGATAATAACGACGATGTTGAAAAAGAAGGCAAGGCACGGGCTTCGCTGACTTTTGTAGTTTTGGAAATGGCTTAAAATGAATTTTTCAAAAAAATAAATAGTAATAGTAATGTAAAAAGAACATATTCTTTAAGGGAGAGACTATAGTTACTAGTTATTACCTCTCTTTTTTATTATTTCTTACTATTAAATCTTAATCGTTGATTTTTGTTAATCTAACGATTATAATTTATTTGAAATTAATAATTAATTAATCAGTATGACACAATAAATTACAACCATTAGATTGACGAAAATCAACGGTTAAGATTTAGTAGTAAGAGGTAATAACTATATTCTCTCTCATTCTGTAAAATTGATCTTATGTCAAAGAAAAATATAAAATTATAATATTCAATATATATATATATATATATATATATATATATATATATATATATATGGGTTTGATGTTTGTCATCTATGTTGCACCGACACCGATACGGGACACGGGATACGACACGACACTCCGACACGTTAATTCTAAAAAATGTTAAATTTTGACACGTTAGGACACGTTTTGATATTATAAAATATTTTTAATATATGTAGTGTAATATTCAATAATTTAATAAAAAAATAAAGCTAAACTTCTAATACCCATCAATTTTGCAAAAAAATATAAGATATCTCAAATGTTTATATTAAACTCAATAAAATAGTAATCGAAATCCAACGAATCTAATAGTTGGAACTCAAAATGCAACGCAAAGTAACCTTTGAACCTTTTTTGAGTCTTTGCAACTAGTATTGGAGTGTCAGGAAGTGTCGGTGAGTATCGGACACGTCAGGGATTTTGAAGTGTCGGTGCTTCATAGTTTGTCATTTTAAATGACATAAGTTATGTCATTTTAAGAGAGAGATAGACACAAGAAATGGGAATCATGGGAGAGAAAGTGGGTGGTTTTTTATTTTAAATTTAAAAAAAAAAAAATATTTTCTCGTGTCTATCTCTCTCTTAAAATGACATAAATTTATGTCATTTAAAATGACAAACATTTTTCCCATATATATATATATGGGAAAAGTGTTTGTCATTTTAAATGACACAACTTGTGTCATTTCACTCTCACAAAGAGGTAAGACTCACACATTTATATTTTTTTTGTACACTATCTCTCCTCCTTTATCAATTGATTTCTCTCACTTAAAATAACACAACTTTACATTCTTTAAAATGATACACATTTTTTCCTATATATATATATGGATAGATGGGAGAGGTTATACTTATAACCTCTTATAATTATTTTTTTTATTGTTAGATCAAAATCAAATCAACGGTTATAAATTACATCAAGTGAAAGCCGTTGATTTGATTTAATCCAACGATAAAACAATGTGATTGTAAGGGAAATTAGGTTATGAGTATAACCTTCATATATATATATATATATATATATATATATATATATATATATATATAGAGAGAGAGAGAGATAAAGGTTACATTTACAATCTCTTTTCGCTTACAAACAAATCTTAATCGTTTATTTGCCAATCTGACGATTATAGTTTATTGGAAATTAATAATTAACTAATAAGTATGACCTAATACATTATAACCGTTAGATTGACGAAAATTAACAGTTAAGATTTGATTGTAAGATGTTATAAGCAAAAATAGGTTATAAATATAACACCCCTAATATATATAATACTTGAAAACAAAAAGAAGCTTAAAACTTTAAGTCAAATATCCACCCCTGACCCAAATCATACCGAGTTATTTAGACTCTGGTTCACCATGATTAACTTGTTCTACATTTGAATTGAAGTTTTAACATGTTTATAGCCACATTTCAATCGGAGTGGGGCGATTGGTATTTTAATATGTTTATTGGTATTCTGATACGAATCCCAGCCACAAGGAGGGAGAGATGTTGAAGGCCGAATTGGAGAAATGAGGAAGATCAAACCAACGTGGATGAGAGATTATGTGGTTCTGCAACGTGGAGTCTAGGTGGCACAGGCTGAATCAGACGAGTCTTTTTGTGTTATTTTGGGCCAATAACTTGTTAGAGGCACATCTTCCCTTTTATTTGTTTAGCGTTTCCTTTTTAAGCTTGCATAAGGGGAACATTTTCTGTTAGCCAGATACTGTATAACGTAATTGATTCTTTTTCACCTCATTTTTGGAGTTGCCGGCAACCTCGAATTGCCATTGGTGGTGTAAATTTTACTTTTATGACGTGATTAATACAAATTGAGATTTAGTAGCTATCATTTTGGTACTTTCATTAAGAGAAAACTTTCGCTCATTCAACACTGGCGGAAGGAACTCGAAGCATGACGAAGGCAAACTAATGGAGGAGTGTTTGAATTATTTATCATAATATGAGGAACAAATCAACTCCTTGGAAACCTGTTGAAGGAGATGAATCCGAGATTAACTTTGATGGAGGCGAAACTTGATACAAAATAGAAAACAAAAAAGATGGATCAACAAGTCACGGATTGGAGAAATTTTTGGGGATCAGTCTGTTTAAATTTGTTAAACTATCAGTGTTGTGATTTGTCGGAGAAAACCCCGAACCTTGGATTCACAAGATCCAACAATTTTATGGGTTCCATTGGCTCAACGATCCAGATAAATTTATGCTTACCTCATTTCACATGGACAAAACAATTGAAGATTGGTATCACTGGATGGACAGGAGCTGAAGGCTACGATCATGGAAGGAATTTTTGGTTGCACTTCGTGCCATATTTGGACCTTCGAAGTATTGTGACCTGAGCAGAGAGTTGGCTCGGTTTACTCAAACTTGTACAGTAGCAGAATATGAAACACAACTCGAGCAATTAGCAAATCAGGTTATCTGTATTAATGATATCATATTGCAGAGAAAATTTGAGTCTGGGTTAAAGCCTGAAATCCGTAAGGAGGTGGGAATGCCTCTTCCTTAAATATTTTACAATCAACTAAACTTTGCAACAGAAAAATTAACTTAACATTACTAAAAAAAAATTGATCTATTAGGTCCTGGATAGAC